TGTGTGGTGGTGGGGAGGGGGGGAGGGGAGGAGAGGGGAAGCTACCGGTATTACTGCCATGCCATGCCATGCATTGCCACTTGAACTTTTGATACTTACCCACCCACCCGCCAACCCAATACAGCAGTACCGGTACTCGAGTACTCGTATGGTAAAGGGTACGAGTATGATGATATGATACAAGCACTGTACAGTACAGTAATAGAGGGAAAAAAACTCTCAAGCGCATGATAACCTTACGGGTACAGTGCAAGTCCAAGTTAAACTGATTACTATCCAACTTATTCTTCCCCCCTACCCCCTTACCCCCTCCCCTTCTTTCGATTTCGTGGGTTCGTGTTTTGTTTTGTGAAATGGGGTCTTGGTGGCGTTCGGTACGGTACTCGGGTATATACCGGTATGAGATATGATAGGTATCGTACGGAAGGGGGTTGGTGGTGGTGTTTGCGCTTTATCTTGGTGCGACTGGTACTTGCGCACGGTAATCGTATCATACTAGGAGTTCTCCTCGGAAGTTGGGAAATCCACGAGTAGGTTGGAATTTCCCCCTTTCCCTTCCTTCTTAGTGTGATACCGGTTGTACTACCGGTACTACTGATGATTGTATGTGTCACAAGCTTAAAAGTTGCGTTTTCGTGTTGTGCGCGGGAAGGTTGGGGGATCTCGGCTCGCTCACTTAGTCTAACCCGCTTGCCACTGCACGAGCAGTCTACGAGTACCGGTACGAGTACTCGAGTACAGTACAGGTACCGGTGCCTTGTCTGGAGGGGGAATAAAAGGAGAAAGGGAGCAGGGAAGATCATCATATGATCTTTTTACAAGTATTTTTTTTTTGAAATTCCGGTAAATCTGCCTGCGGAGATAATCATGACTTGACAATCGGAGGGAGGAACAGCAACATAGTCTACTGTACGATACTACCTCTGTGCTGTGCTGTGTTACCGGTACTTGTTTAAGTACCTACCCTACCGTACCACACCGTTATAGTACTCGTACCGCTATCGCACAATACCGATCAGAAGGGATTGCTTGGTACGGTCCCCTAATGGTTTGTGCGGTACTTGTACCGTACTGTACAGCAGCATGGCGAAAGGGATGCACCGTACCGTACGGTACTCCGATACGATATGTCTCTCTTCTGCCTAACTTACCTTTCTCTCCCTCCATCTCCCTGTACATGTGATTCCTTTTTTCGCGTTGCTTTTTTGCCCTGATTGAGGTGGACATGATACTGTAATGGTTAGGAACGGGCAGCGCGGGTAGGAAGTACTGTACCCGGTACCGGTCACGCCAGTCAGTTATTATGGAGTAAAACGTTGTGTTAGAGTTCCAGCCCTCTTGTGATAGAAATGTTTTTTCTCTCACGGGTTCGGTGCGGTAATTCGCTCCCAGCCAGTCTCGTCCCGTCTCCTACGATCTGATATCATAGTTTGTTTTCCCATTATTTGATCTACCGGTATCAGATCGATGCCGTCCAAGCCGGGGCGCGGGCGGCGGGAGTGGTTGTCTTTTCTTTTGTTTTTCTCTCTCGTCCCAGTGAACCGTTGGGTCGGGATGAGCTCTGCGATACAAAGGTCTCCAGTCCAGGCTCGTGTTGTATCATTCCGACTGTACCGGTAGGGAGGGAAGGGGGCGGGCGAGCGAAGCAATGTAAGGTAAAACATTGTTCCCATCCACGATATCTACCGTACCGCACCGTACCGCCTTCTCCACGCCGTATCGCGGCTGTACTGTATCGTGGAATGCGTAGGGTAGGATTGGTTGGTGGGTGGTACAAGTGCCACGGTCAACTACCGTACCCTATGTACCGTACAGTACCGGCAGCTCGTTGGAACATCCCGATGAGATTTGTGGATTGGAGTTACCGCATGTACCGGTATCTCTGAAATTCATGGAACCCTCCTTTATATAATCCGATCTGCGGGTTTGAGCGTTTCATTCCCTCTTCACACTTGACGCTCCAGAACAATGTCCAATATGGGGGATACCGGTAGATATGATGGGTGTGATAGCCCAATACCCGTGGGGTCCCGACCTAACTTTGACAGGCCAGGCGGTCTCAGCTAACCCACCCACCCCACACACACATGTACTTGTACTCGTACTCAGTACTCGTACTTCTTCTTCGCCGCCGCTGGCGTCGCCACACACTTCTGGCCAGATGTTTGATCAAGATTTGGGATCTAACTTGCCGTATTTGTATCTGAATGCCCTTTCACCCGTCCGTTACCGTACTCGTAGTGGTGGTACCGGCAGTCAGTTGGTCGCTTGCTCGCACCGGGAAGGAGGAGGGAATAAAATTCACGACGGGAATCCTGTACTCGAGTGCTGTACGTGTAGATACTCCGAGGGAAGAGGGAAGAAGGGGGGCGGTGGGAAGAAAAAAAAATGGTGTGATTGTGGCGATGAAATGAAATAAAACAAGTGTGGTATGATACCATACCGATAACTTATTGTTCCTCCTAGATTCGGAAGGGGGCTGTGCAGCTACCCGAGCGCTTTTCACCCTTTGGGAAATCGAGTGTGTGTGTGGGGGGGAGGGTTAGACAGGTTCCATCGCGATCAAGACTCAAGTAACTTTATCTCACTAACTTGACCTCCAAATCTCTCACCCATTCATTCGTTTTCCGGATCTAACCGGTAACTGCACGGTACGGTACAAAGTATGATGATATGGTGGTCTTTTTTAAAATTAAATGCAGGTATGGTCCGTGATACCGGTGGACCTCATCACCCGCTCTCTCTCATAACGCCAGAAGATTCAGCGTGATTGTCACTTTTTTTCCTTTTTCCCTTTTTGTTCTATCCGAGTCTTACGGGCGGAGTCAGCAAACTCGTATCACGCCCGAACCACTCGTACTTCCTGGGGGCTGGTATCAATACTGCGGCGCAAAGACTTGGAAATGATAATACCCCCCCTTCCCCCCCACCCGCCCCCCTATCACGATGGGTAATTTCGTCCGTCCATTTTTTTTTTCCTTTCCCAAAAAGTTCATACAGCACGCATCGTACAGTAAGCCTCACTCGCAATAAGCCGGAGCGGGCGGGCGGGAAGAGATACGTGACCCATTTAACGAACGATGAATCCGCTCCGTCGGGTGGGGTCTCGTACGGTATCTCTCCCTTCCTTCCCTTCCTCAGATCCACTTGACCGGTCGCTTAGGTCCCACATGCATGCATCTCATTTTCTTTCTTTTCTT